CCCCATTAACATATTTATAAGATTATTGTGTCCCTTATTTTTTTATGGCACATGAATTAACTGTCCTACTACTACAGGATGTCCGATGAATCTTGGATAGTACATGTACAGTTGTACACACATGTATAATTGATTTAAATTCATCAAATTAATCAAATCCTGTTTATTTTCAGAACGATGATAAATTACTTCAAAGGAACCATATCTGAAGAAGTAAGAAAAGCAGAGCTTATATTTTATGCAGCGTTGGCAGAACATACCATCTCGGGCCATGGATCATCTCAGCGATTTATTCAGCAAAATGTTTTATGATTCGGAAATCGCAAAGGCCTTTCCTGCAAACGCACTAAATCTGCTCAGTTAGCTCAGTGCAGCGAATACTGACTTAGTATTTGTAATAAAACTTATTGTAAATATTTATTATTATTTGAATATGTCTGTATAATGAAGGTGTGTAATTGGTAAAATTAAAAAGTAACTGATAATAAGTGTTTTAATAAAAAAAAATCCTCTTTTTCTTTTAGTATATTTTTAGTATAATTCAGCATGTGTTTTGGTATTATTTAGTACTGGCACCTTGTAGTTTTGGTAGATCGCCATTTTTTAAAACGGTCACACTGGTCCTCAAATCAGTACGTTCGAATGGGTTACTTTGAGGAAAACGATACGTTCGTTTGATTACAGTCATGAATGGCTCAAGGGAGAAACAAAAAACCACGACTATAGGAACCTGATAATAAGAGAATGTAATAGAAAGCGAAGTTGACATACACAAAATATACTAAAGGCCTGTCCCGATTTCACGGGGCTGGGCATTTAATTCATTAAATAATTTGGAATAAATATAGTCCATTACGCAGAGATAGATAGAAAATACAAAAAGTTCCTCTTAATAATATTAGTATATAATATGGGTAAAATTGGAGTAAACTCGTAAACGACTTATATTTCACTGTATTTATCAATTAAAACTAAATATTAGCTCTTTATTAGATTACCTCTAATCTAATGATAAACTGAATGGATCTTCTTGACCGGTTCTACCAGATCGAAAAACGTATATTATTAAGTCAGTTATTATTATTTTGGCTATAGCAACAAGTGTATGTTAGAGATTCATTATAAAATAATATAAATTCTAGAGTATTTAGAATCATCAAACCTACACATATCTTAAAAACTATGTTCAAAGATAATATATTTGAATTTTGTGTGAGTAATTTTCTTATTTATAGAACATGGGGCAAATGGCAGGAGACTTAGAAGAGGTAGGAAGTATTAGCCGGGGAGGATATCTGAGTCTCATTAAGGAAAAACTAGGCCGGCTTCGCAGTTTTAATGTGTAAGTGAACCGCGTTGAGGTTAGAATTGAGCCCCCTAATATTGGTAAAGTCCACTGTGAGCGTGGAAGGGGTTGCCTTCGGTAAATTCTTCCGTTTGCCCCGAGATGGAAACTGTTAAAAGTTTTAAGGGTTTTAGCGCAGTTTTGCACTCCCCCCAGAATACGAAGGGCAGCCTGTGCATCCAAAACCGAACGGACTACGGTGTCACGTCGCGAAGCCGGCAAAAAATATATATTATGTATTACGGAGATTTTAAACGAAGTGCCGATTCGCTGAAAGCAAAAAAATATTTACTCAAATATAGATAGTTTAGCTTTATCGTAGTGGCAAGAAATATTTTTTTAAGAATATTATAACCCTGTTCGTATTGGCAAATATAAAGGCGTGCGCTTTGACGAAATTTAGGGATTTTCAAGTCGTTTCTGCCATCTTTATTTTCGTTCACTTTCTATAGCCGGCAGGACTGTAGATAACAAAGATGTGATTTACTCTGCATATGCCACACATTTAATAGAGGTAAAGTATATACCAGGGGGCTTCATAGCCTAGCGGTCTTATTAAGTGGCAGCTTGGTGAGAGGTACCGGGTTCGATGGCAAGCTTTAATTTAATTTAAATTTGTTCTCGGCCTTTGGGAGGGTTGAGCGGTACCGGGTGAGTGCTTAAACCGTACATGGAGAACACGGTCGAATTTCTAAAAGGCAAGCACGAATTATAAAAAAAATCCTATACTTGACGCTGGCTAATGCACAAATCGTGCCAGATCAATTAAAAAAAAAAGTATATACCATAAAACAAAGAGTAAAGACTATAAAGTATAAACACTTACGACGTAAATAAATAAGTTACAGAATACAGTGGTAGTAATTTTTATTAAAATTATCATTTATCACATATTCACAAAATTAAAACAGATTTAATTTGGTTATGATGAATTTGATACTTACTTTAGTACAAGTATCAATAGTTGTAACTGTTGTTTTTACATTTGCGAGGGGACTATACTTAATTTATTTAATTTATACTGAATCATGTGGATTTAATGATGCAAAACAATCTCTACGAACAATATTTTGCGTTGGATCTGGTGGGCATACAAGTGAGCTTCTAAAGCTAATATCTCAAATGGATATGCAGATATATAGACCTCGTCTCTACATTATGGCAGATACTGATAACACCAGTGAAACAAAAATACTTAAATTTGAAAATAATGACAACAATTATCAATTAAGTAAAATTCCACGAAGTAGAAATGTGAATCAGTCGTTTAAGTCTTCATTTTTTAGTACTCTTTATGCAATCTATGTAACAATTCCATTAATATATAAGTTCAATCCAAATCTTATATTTTGTAATGGCCCTGGTACATGTGTTCCCATCTGTATAGTTGCATTTATAATGAGATGCCTGTTTTTAATAGACTGTAGAATTGTTTTTGTAGAAAGTGTTTGTCGTGTAAGAACATTATCACTAACTGGAAATATATTGCAGTTCTTTGTGGATGTGTTTGTAGTACAATGGCCGCAAGTACATAAAGTTTGTTTTAGAAGTAAATATTATGGTAGATTAACATGATTATTACAAAATACAACTTTTTTTATTCACCTTCAAAATATGCTTATATTATGAATCCAAGAGTTTCAATAATAATTAACATTTCTCACTATGGCATAGAAACCCAGCATTCAGATAATACACAACAACATATAGTTCTATTAGTTTAAATATGTCCCTGTGCTAGATTGCCTTGCCATGATATGACATAAGTCATAAGAGAAAGGTTTTTAATTTCCCAGTTTAGTAATAAAATCGCATCTGGTAGTCAAATTAGAACAAATTCGTTTTGTAGGATGTAACATATAACAGGATCAGTGCTGTTATAAGGGCTTATTACCAAGTACAAAGAATTTTATTAAATAAAATAAGTGTTATAAATATAGATGTATTTTTATCTTTTTTATGAAAGTACATCATTCAGATCAACATTATTCTATATACAAATACAACATTAGTTTAAAAAAATGTTTGATATAAATTTCCAACAATGTAAATGGTATATGCTTCAGTCTTCACATCATTTTAAGTGGAAATTTAACTTCCTATCAACCAATACTAAATACATATTTTTTGCTAATCCACATCAATATTTCAGTAGATAAATAAATAGAGAAAAGTTCACAGAAAAATAAATGGCATAGTCTTCAAAAAGACATATGACACAACATTGAAATGCATTAAAAACAGTAAATTGTTACCTTGTTAAGGTCGATTTACATCAAACGAACATAGAGCTAGAGCTAGAACAAGAGCATTCTTTCGTAATCTTTTAGTGTAAACGAAAGCTAGAGGTATCGATTTATATCAAACGAACATAGAGCTAGAGCTAGAACACAAGAACGCTTTGAAAAGACCGCTCAGTGGCGCGAGCACGTCCGAACACGCTAGAACGCTCTAAGCAACTGTTCGCGCGCTCTTGCGCCGTTTACATCAAGCGAACGAGCATTCTTAGAATATTCTATAGAATCGTTGCGAACGCACTAAGAACAACGACAGAATGCTCTACGCCTGTTTACACTAGAAGAATTTGATGTAGTGGGGATAGAATGAGCATTCGCTCGTTTGATGTAAATCGACCTTAACCGCAACAACTATTGCAATACAAAAATGATGAATTTATATGTTTAAACTAAATTAATACAATATTTTCTTATGATTTCAATTGTAAAGTAATTCTTGTGTCAATACATTTTTTTAATAGGATTACAGCACACTATTCAACTATCAGTTTTTGAAAAAATCAGATGATGTCATGACTATAGATAACAACTAAATCTTTTGTAGCAATAACTTTATATACTCAAATATGCTATATTAAGTCCACTTGATCACTTCACTTTATTTATAATGGCGACATCTGTGTAAATCACAATTCCGCCAATGTCACATTCTAAGTCTTCACAAGGTGAGGAAAGATTTGATAATTTTGATAGATTGAATTTAATCTAAGCAGAGTTACCCAAAACAGTCCTTTTGATCATTGGGAACAAATATTTTATGACATCACTGACACATCAGGCATAAGTGAATTGGGCTTGCAACTCAATTTGTAACTTGATTTCGATAAGTATTTTTAAATGTTAATGTACTACATAAATCAATTTTAATACATTTGTAATTGTGACTGCTTTAAACTATAATAATGTGATTTAAAATTTTCCTAAAAGTTACAAGCCCAATTGAAATTTCTTATCACAGGAGATTTGACCTTACAAGTTTAAGACATTCAATCACAGATAATATTAAGCCAATGTCTACAAAGGATTCCAATTTCTTAATAAATATTGCTTCAGCTATAAGTATTTATAAATACCTTTGTAAAGCTTTGTCAAGAGACTCCATTAGTTAGTACTTATAATATAACAGCTTATTTATACATATTAGGCACAACTACGGACAAACCATTCATGATAAAAGTTAGTCATGAAAATTTTAACATTACCATCATAATATGTAAAACCTAACTAACAACTGTGCTAACAAGGTAATTTCTAGGCACTATAAGAATACTATGATAAAGTTTACTATGTTATAAAACATAAGTACAAAAAATTAAGTAAATTTTTAAATAACTAGTGACCATGCTATGCATCTAAATTTAAGGCTTAATGTCTTCTGTAGCATTTGTTTGGTTACTAGTTTCATCTTTAGCATCAATATTGTTATCAATATGAAATTTTTCTTCACCTATCAAGTATAAAGCTTCATCATAGGTGGGTGGAGGGGGGTCAGAACTTGATGGTTGAGGTTTGCTTGTTGCAGCATTTGCAATGAGTGCATCATATGATGGTGGCAAGGTTGCACTGGATGCTGTTCTAGGAATTTGACCACTATATTCTGCTTGAATACTTGCCATGTCCTAAAAAGTATAAAATAATTGTTAATGTTTTGTTTTGTTAATTTTTCATACAATAATGAAGCTTAGAACAGAGTAGTATTTTCGAATGTGTAAACAAAACTTACTGGCAATATTTACATTAGATAACAATTTCAGGTTAAGGTTACCACTATTTGAACAGACAGAAATTGTGGTATTTTCTGTAAAGTTAATTAGAAATGTAAGTGTAGTCTACGATGGAATTAAATAATACTGCTTTTTAAAGTACAATATAATATGTTTAAATTGGCTCACCCTGATAATCGCACGCTGATGAAGGAGCATTTGAATAACACTTTTTCTCCGTAGATATAGCATGCTTTTTACAGCAACCATCATACCTGAACATATGAATATAGGTCCGACGAGCCACATATGTCCTAAATTACTCAAAATATATCCGTCAGCCACACCAAGAGCAAGCACAGTAATAACTGTACCTACTGAAAATAAAACCATGGAAAGAACGAAGTAGGAATAGCTGGTACAATCACATCGCCCAAATCTTTGATCTTCATCTAATTCGAAATCACGGTGCCGTAGCCGATGTAAACGTTGTCGAATAAATGGACTATCAAATACAGTCGCCATTTTTTAAACTTCTATTTTAATAAGAACACTAGCCCAAAAAATATTAAACATTTATTAATATGAAAACTTTGAAATGGAATACACTGTCAATATGTAAAGTGAAATTATGCCAAATAAAAATCTCACATTTCCTTGTAAATGTTAATAAAGTTCAACATCCATCTATTATTTATGACTGTGATGTTAGTGTTAACTGTGAAGCATAGAATATAAATACACCATCGAGGTGTGGTCAATACACTGTAGCGTCAACTTAAATTATACCGCCGTATTCAAAATGTTACAAAATTGCATCTAAGAAATTTGACCTAAATCAAAAAAGGACCATTTTGAAATTTTATAGTTTCTCTCGTTACTTTAGTACCTCTATTTGTCCTGTGCTTCCGCCTACCTAGCTTGTGATTGGTAACTTAACTTACACAAAATTATTTTGTAATCTTTGCAATAGAAATTTGACATATTTAATTCTGAAATAGTCGTAAGTCGTAACTCGTAGCCCGAAGACCGTAGTCGCAAGTCGTAGTCACTACTAACTAGTCTCTAATTTATCTGTGGTTATTTCTTATGGTGATAACTGATAAATAATAATATATATTATACTGAGATATTAAAATACATTCATCTAAATTATAGATCAATTTATTTTTAGATATTTCAAATTTGAATCATAAATATTTTTTATTTTAAGTATTTAATGCCATACAATGATATCTATAAAATGGGCTGGCGCCAGTATTTTTCAACTTGGCTCTTTTCTTTTCTTATTATTCTATTTAATGGGGATTCTTAATGTGAATTTTAGTGATAAAAATAATTATTGTGTCATGACATATATGTTCGAATATCCTCAATTTGTGGTAAGAAAAATAATTTATCTTAATCTATATATATTTTGAGCTAAACTTGCAGCTGTAAATAAAAAGCGAATAGAATTGAGAGTAATGTATGTACAATTTTGAAGAATTTTGCTAATATTTTCACTTTGTATAAGTTGAGATAATATTAACTATTAATGAATACATTTTAAAATTGTTTACTTTCTAGCGAATATCCATGATTGAAAGTAATATATACCCACAATATGGTTTATACACATATAGTGAAGGCCGTTTTACAGAGAGAGCCAGGAAGATGTGGTAATAAGTTTTTCTTTTATGGTTTATATATTATTTAATGACTAGTAAGAAACAAAGACCATAATATTTTATCAATATTTAAATTATCATCTGTTGTAACACACTTTTATTAACTAACTAGTATACAGAACAAGTAAAACTGGTTCCTTTAGCAAATAAGTATTATTTATCAACCTCAGGTTTGATGGTGTACCTGTGTTATTTTTGCCTGGAAATTCTGGCAGTCATATGCAAGCAAGATCTCTTGCATCAGTAGCATTAAGAAAAGCATTATCTAATGGTTATGAAAACCATTTTGATTACTTCACAAGTAAGGTTTTTATTTGAATTAATAATTATTTTTTAACATTTATTGAAAGTTAATTCTGGTTGCAAATTTTTAGTAAGCTATAATGAGGAGTTGTCTGGCCTTTATGGAGGAGTGCTTCAAAGTCAAACTCAGTTTGCAGCAGCTTGTGTTTCAAAAATTTTAAGCCTATATAAAAACAAATACACTAAATCTATTCCATCATCTGTGATATTAATTGGTCATTCAATGGTAAAGTACCCATACAACAGTTTTTATATCTTATACCAAAATAAATCAGTAAGCAATTGTAAGTGTTTTACAGGGAGGAGTCATAGCTAAAAGGCTTTTAGCCTACCCAAGTACAATAAATACAACAAATATTGCAATAACATTAGCAGCACCATTAGAAGCACCAATTGTAAACTTTGATACTGCCATAAATGACTTCTACAAATTAATGGATCTGGAATGGAAAATTTATGTTGAACCGAATAAAGAAATAATAGATAAAAAGCTATTGATTAGTTTTGGCAGTGGCCCTAGAGATCTTTTAGTGCCTGCAGGGTTAACGTCATCAAATGTCAGTTATGTTAATACTTTGGTAAGTACTTAAGATAAGCTGGATGTTGACAAGACATGAGAGTGATCAAATAGATATTTTATTTGAAGTGGCATTATGACATTACAATTGATGCAAATCTTTATACTGTTTGTTAATTTTTAGAGTTCAACACAAATGTAATAAGATTTTTGTTTAAATAGTGTGAGTTCTATATAGGGCATATTATAAAATATAACTTTTTTAGTGAAAATGTTTTTAGGCAACCGCAATTCCGGGAGTATGGGTATCACCAGATCATATCAGTATGGTTTGGTGCAAACAATTAGTTTTGGCAATAAACCGCTATCTATTTGATATCATTGATACAAGGACTGATCAAATTACTGATAACTATGAACATATCCAAGTGAAATCGCTACAATATTTTGTGGTAGGTGCGTTAATTGATATCATAGTAGATAGGGCTGATAATGTTGCTAGATCAACTTGCATGACCGTTCCAATTCGCTAAACAGTGTTAACCCCTTGTAAAGTCACTCAATTTAACATCAAACATCCTAAAAAATTACCCTGGCTATCTTCCTATTTTACCTACACTTCATATTTTATTTGGAAATAAAGCTATATATAAAGATATTACATCAAAATTGGATTTGTATGACCTTGGTTGAAGGAACCACTTAGCTAAATCATAGTTAAGTACAAAATTCATTTAACTATAGCGACTTTGGGTGTAACGCGGTGTTCGGGTATAGCGACTGTTTTTGATGAAATGTTTGTAACAAATTCTTTTAAACCTAGGTTTGTTGGATAAGTGTTTGTTTCGGAGTTAAACATGTGGTTAAGTTACAAAGTGATATTCTGAGTAGAAACACAGTTGATCCTTTGTTGTTATATCCGGATATAGTGGTAGTCTTTCCATCGTTTTTATAACAGAAATCCACTGTTTATGAAATCATTATGCATTTTTTAATATAATTTCTCTTTAAGGCTAACCGTTCAATGACTTTGAGCGAGAAATCGCGTGCAAATGTTAATATGATAGCGGATGCGTTTTGGTACGAAGATAACAGAAGGATTTATCAAATATCTAGACCGGAGATTGACAGGTACTATTTTTAAATATTTTTGGAACATCTCTATCTAAAGTCTGTCAGTAATAAATAAGTAACATTGTTGGAACTGAATAAAATTATCGAAAATTTGTTTAAAATAAACGAGAGATCATAAAACTATAGTAAAAATGTTGTTTTGACCGGCTTGTCATGAGCATTGATATAGTATTTCAAATTAAAAGATTTTTATTAATAAGTTTATTTCGCCGAAAAATATAAAATTAACGTCATATGTAATTATATGAACTTAAAAATTTCCAACTGACGTGGTAATTTTCGGTTCGTTGGCGAATTTCCAAAACCCTATTAATGTGCAGTAATCGTTATTTTAGTTGCCTCTGTAGGTACGTATTGCGTCAGAACCTAATTTATGACTACTATTAGCAGGGTTGATAAATTTTTACTTAACTCGTAAATTATATTATTTTATTGGACATACGGTCTTGATAAAGACACAGTTTAAACTGTGTGTTCACGAAGAACTTTTGTGATAAAATTGAACGATAAGCCAGCAAGATATAGATTTTTATTTAATTTTTTTTATTCGCTGTGTTCTTGGCTAAGTGGTGAACGCACATGGCGTAGAAGGTTCTAGGTATGACACCTGTATTTACAACATTGGGGCTGTTCAAGTATTACGTAAGCTGATTTACTGCAATTTATCCGTCAGCAAAAGTAAGCAAAGATCTCAAAAATAATAATGGGTAATATGCCTAAAAAAGAAAATAATCACTGTTGACGTAATCACCAAATAAGAAAATCAGAGGACTCCCCCCTGTGGTGCTTACGTAATACTTGATACATTAGATACAGGATTTGTACTTTCTTACACATTAGAATTTATTCCTGTATATGCGAGCGGAAATTATATGTAATTAAAGATCTTAATCATTTCTATGAACGCTTGCAACTGCACCGGCATGTCTTACGTTTTCTCTGATAGAAACAACACTTCACGCTAAGTGTGACTTTCGTATGTCAAAATACATTATAGTTCGCGCTACTACGACTTATGGGCCTTCAAGAAATGAGCGTAACATTCCCTTAAAGATCGGCAACACACCCGCTATGCCCCCATTGCCATAACATTACCTGGAGGAGGCTTACCTGATAAAGGATACCGCTGCCTATGGACACTTACGTTGGCAGAAGGCTCGCAAGTCCGTTGCCGCCCTTTTAAGAATAATTAGAATAGTTGGCGCTAAGTGTAGTTTTGAATCTTACAGGTCAGGTTACCAGTACCTACTTGCCTATAACGAAAAAAGGTTAGGTATTATTCGGGGTGACGCCATGTAAATAATATAATATATACAAGTAAAACCTAGGCTCTACCGTTTTTCAGGATTACGTACTTGATGATTCGTCTTGTAACATTTCCACAAAATCGATTTGTTGCCATTGAAACTGTTAATGTTGATGACAAAGAATGGCTCTTTGGGTGTAACGCTAAGGATGTTCATAGCACATACAGATATTGGTATGTATTTTATATATTATTTATACATAGCAAAAAAAAAGGGTGCGTGTACTTATGTACGCGCGTAAGAAGTTATACTTCTTTGGCATTATTAAAAATAGTTTTTGATTGCATGCAAATAATTAATTACAATTAAATAATCAAAGACTGGAAAAGGAGTCATTAAAGTCAATAAAGTTCAGTTTACATTTGAAAAATTAATTAAATAAATATTTATTATTATTCTCTTACATTAAACAAATAAAACACTATTTATCTTTAAAACATTTTTATTTCATTATACTATTTATTTTTAAGTGACTCTAATGTCTTCATCAGAATTTCGGTTTGTAATTTTAAATTAATCATTACTTGGTTGTGCATCTACGAGGCTTCTCCAAAACTACTTGCTTTCTGCAACAAATAAGAGAATATTAATTTAAGCTCTGTCCATGCAAAACTTAAATTTTTTTATAATTCATATTATAATTTTTTTAACACATTTATATTAATATAATTATATAAATGTGTTAATAATATAATTTGTTTGGGGATTCTTGTTGTTCAGTTCGACATGATTTTCTTTAACCTTTCTTTAATCCTACAAAATAATGAAATTGTTAAGTTATGTTGTCACTGTTGTGCACACCTTTGTTTGGCTTTTTAGTATTCAAGTTATGTCAAAACTGATTTATTACCTTGTCATTGTTGGCTTTATTTGCTTTTGGGATATCAATTGTTTCCAAAATGATTTTATTTGTAATAACCTGAAATATATAAATAACATCTATTAATTTAAGTATCATGGTGAGTGGTTCGCACTCAGGTATTAAGGTGTATTATACCCACTGTCCATTATAAGTGGGAATGGGCTCACTTCTGGCAGGACAGAGTTTCGGTACTACAAGTGCAACATGGATGTTTTGAGGTATTACAATATCTCTAACTACCCTGTAGGGGAATAAAGTAATGTTGTAAGCATATGCCTATGCTTGAAAGGTTGAACCTTGAACATCACCATACATCATATTTATAATTAACATTCCTACCTCGACACCATCACAATCAAATTCATTGAAATCTACTTCAAACCATTGTGTCTCGAGAAGGTGATGGTGGCTTTGTTCCACCTCCAGTTTTTGATGTTTCACAGCGATAAGATGACAACTCTTTTTTTGTATTCAATTTAGTGCACTTCCACTGATTCATCAATTGTTTTTTGTCTCTTGTCCTTATATTTGCTAGATTAAATCTGATGTTTTGATTAAATAATGTGGTCATTTTTTTGAGATGCAGGTACTTATTAAAATGTTTACTTCTCTGTTATATCGCTCCAAGCCTTCATTTTCTCCTTATTAGTATTCGTGCTTAAATCTTTGTTCTCAATTATTGATATATAGGGTCGTAGAATATTTCTAAAAAGTTGCTGTAACAAACGCAATAAACAAAAGCAATGAATAATGGTTCATGTTTCAGTTTTAATAATACTCGATAATACATACGGATAGTTAACCTCAATTGTATTGACTATTGAAGCACTCAGGAAGGTTAGCACAGTTTTTTCACAAATATTTTATATTATTTCACAAATATTTTGTATAATGAAAATAACTAGGTATATAATTATTAATTTTAAACAATAATTAAAACTCCTATATTTGTTTAAAAGGTAAATGTCATTGTCAGATGTCAATTGTCATGGTCATTCAAAATTCTTGTTAAGCTGCTAAGCTAGAATATGCGTGAAGTTAGCTTCACGCATATTCTATTTCTTTTTACTTGTAGTTTGTCTTATTCCCATCTCGCTCGCGCACGCTATATCACACTGCCAATTTTGTGTCATAGGTGCGCGCGCAATCGTAAAATTTCACTCTCATCAATTTTTCATAACGCGCCTAAAGAAGTACAACTTCAAAAATTGTGGCGCTACAGCATTTTTAGGCCTGGGCAATTAGTGTATTTCTGCACGTAATTTGCGTCGACCTCAGGAATGAGAGCTCGCACGCTGAATCAACACAAACCGGCTCGCCTTAGACCCAAAAATTCAACGGTGTGTGTCAGGCACAGGAGGCTGATCACCTACTAGTCTATTATCGATTGAGAAATAATCATGAAACAGATACAGAAATCTGAGGGAATGTATGTGTGTAAAATTTGTGACGTCATATTTCATTGTATTTTTAAGCATGCATGTGTCGTGGGCTTATCGTTAGATTGGCCAGATCGAGATATGCCCAGGCAGAACGTGATACTCCGGCACATCATGATCTGGCCATCCAACACAGGGCATATCGTTCAACACTTAACGTTTGGCGATTTGGCCAGAGATACTTTAGGCATATCGATTATGTAGGGTGTCCAAGGTTTTAGCAAATAAAAATAAAGTTAAGAATTAAAATGTTTATTAAAATTGAAAATAATTATTGTTATGAAGCTCTAACTTAACATTATTTTTTAAAATTCCAAATGTGGCACATAGAATCACAGTTCTTTGGAGAGAAAATAACAAAACGCCTATTTGAGGCAAATAAAATATGTATATAAACAGTAAGGTTTAATAAAATGTTAACACAGCCATCACGTAGAAAACGGCACGTACGAGCAACAGCTAGAATTAAATGAAAATGTTAAAAAATAATGAATAACATTAAAAATGAGTTATTTAAATAATAAAGTGTAACTAAATAATCAGACTCATTAATCAGTTGAAAACAAACTTATATTAATAGGAACGTCAAATAGTTTTTCAAAGAATAGTTACCTATTATTTGTTTTTTAAATATGACAAACATTAATAACATCGTCAAAAAATTCTAAAAATGGCACATTCAATCACAGCCCTTTGGTAATAAAATAAGATAACAAACCAAACGTTCGTAACATTTAAATACCTAAAAAATCTTTAGAAATAGGTAATACAACCCGACAACCGCCATGCAGAAAGAGAAATTAAATTAAAAAATGTTTATAAACATTAAATAGGTACCTACTTAAAAAGTGTTCCTCAATCAGACTAACAACAGACTTAATCAGTTGAAAATAAACTTTGTATTGAATATTAAAGGAAAGTCAAATATTTTTTGAGATATCTATCATTTGTTGATGCATGATATACTTTGATGACATTTTGAAGTGCAGAGAACATTATTCTTATAACATGCACACCTTTTGGTGTGACATTGATTTCTGGCAGGCCTGCAGGAGCATTTCTGGAAACCTTGACCTCCAAACATGGACTGACATGTGACTGCATGACGCAATGTTATAAATGATTCAGAAATGTCTACATTATAATCTTTGGCTGAAATTTGTAATTCTTGTCTCGGGAACCAGTTTTTTATTGTTCCAGAAGTAGTACCAATTTTAAATACACCATTCCTAATGTCAACAATTTTACCTGCGATGTTCTTGGTATCAAGTGGTCCACGATCAAATTTTGGAACATTTATCAAGACGCTATTACCAACTTCTAATAACGGAAGCTTTTTGACTGTTTGGTCAATCATTTTTTCTGCAGCCCGTTTGGTACCTTTAAGAGTTTGTGCTCTTTCTTTTGCAATGTCTTGTTCTCTTTTGCATATGAAACATAAAATCTGAGACCCGTAACCTTCTTCACCGTCAGTGAGACCACATATAACGTGAACTGGTTTAAAGCACGATCTACAACTATGAGCTCCAGTTGTTTCTTTGGTACAAACCAAACAAATCTGCGTATTGCAGTCGGCTTTCTTAGTCGTTAGTGACGTGTCGCTACTGGCTGAAACCCCTTGAATTGAAACGACAAAAACATCTTTGCTAGTAGAAGCTCTGTTAACAGTTTGCAAAGCTAAATCTTCTATACAGGACGTATCATTTCTGGGTGAACAATTAGTTGCTTCAAGTTTTTGTTCGGCGGTTTCAATATTTTCTATTTTCAGATCTTGATTGGCAAGCGCCGTTGCCGAATTTACACTTGTTAGGACGTTCTGTACACTTAATGCTTTAGGAACATTTATTTCGGCCGAAACCATCTCAACATCAAGCGTTAGTGCTTTACTACTTAAGCCATCAACATTTGTCCCTTCAGGCAAGATTATCTCTATCGAGGTTGTCGTAATATTCATCTTTTCAGTTTCAATAGATGAAATAACACTGTCTGCGATATTGGCAGGCGCCGGTGCCGCATTTATACATGTTGGGGCATCCTGTACACTTAATGCTTCAGAAATATTCACTTTGGCCGAAACCATCTCATCATCAAGCGTTAGTGCTTTACTACTTAAGCCATCAACATTTGTCCCTTCAGGCAAGATTATCTCCATCGAGGTTGTCGTAGTATTCTTCTTTTCAGTTTGAATAGATGAAATAACACTGTCCGGGATATTAGTACCTTTCAGTAATGTTTTGGGGTCAGAACCGAACAAGGCACGATAGGGTGATCTACCAATTATACGATGAAAAGATGAATTTTTATAATACTGTACGAAGTAGCAACCCACAGACCAATTAGCAGAATCATTATCTTTCATCCAACAACGCAACATGTTTTCTACGTCTTGGTTGCTACGTTCGACGCTTCCTTGCGTTTGAGGACGTCTAGGGCCTCCATGAACGATCTTGCATTCTGGCCACAACTGCACAAGTTCTTCAATGACATGAGCTGTAAACTCTTTCCCATTATCAGATTGTAAAATTAATGGTGCACCAAACTCCAAAAATATTTTAAATAGTTCAAACGCCACCTCCACAGCCCTCTTAGATTTCAATGGCCTCAAGTGTAGAAACTTGGTAGCATGGTCCTGATAATTCATTAACCACTTGTATTCCCCGTCCGGAGCTGATTGTAAATCAATAAGGTCTACCTGACCTCGTGAGTTGAAATCTGGTGATATAATTGGTTTTGTCACTATACCTTTTTTTGGCATGGAACGTTTCATTTCACACACTGCACACAATTTAATGTATATTTCTATAGCTTTTTTCGGTATGTGAAATTTGTTTTTAATACTATATATCATTTTTTCTCTGCCACCATGCCCAACAGCTTTGTGAACTTCTGTTAATATATCAAAATATTCATCTACGGCGACTATGCGCACTGTAGGATCATCGGCAGTTTTTCTTTTGAAAATTAAGTTATCTTTGTCAGAAGTTTCCATGACATCATATTTTGCACTCCAATAATAGTCCGAAGAGACCCGCTGCATGGTCACCCTACTTCTTTTATTTGTTCAATAACCTAAAAAATAAAATGGAACTTTAGCGTACAAACATTAGTTACTTAATCAATCTAAGAATTTTAATACATAATGACATGAGAGAAACGCATCACCTACACATTATTATGCAAAAATAAACACTTGTTTATCAACTAAATACTAACCTCTAAAATACGTTGAGAAGTCCATGGTTTTTTTACATTGTGCGAAGAATCTTTATGTCCCTCATAGAAATCAAGTAACTGATGGTAATATTGTTCTTTAAATGCACTTTTTGTTTCGTTTTCACTGTTCATTTTGATAATATCAACACCACATTCACTTGTTTGTAACGCCGCCATCTTCCGCTCGCGTAAACAAAGCCGAGCGCGCGAAGACAGCGGAATATCGACAAATACGTTATTCTCGTCGATCTGCCCAACCTTTTACTTGGCGCATCGCGATATGCCCGGCCGAATCATGATGTGCCGGCGTTTCAAGAAGTGCCCGGGCATATCTCGATCTGGCCAATCTAACGATAAGCCCACGACATGTGCATAAATAAAATTATTACAAAAGGCACGGTAAGCATCTAAACAAAATCTCAGATTTTTAAATTTCGATATTGATTTTGTTCGATGTTTTTTACTCTAATTCCGATAGAATTTGAATTTAGAATGAGACTTAAAATATCTAAGAAGTTTGCTATATATGGAGTGTAATTTTTATCATATTAATAATTTTATCCAGTAAAACAGCGATGTCGTTAAGCGAATTAAGTAGATGGAGCGCTTCTGCCACTGGAGAAAAACGGAAAATGGCCACAATTAACTTGCACAGTATTATAGAAAAATATCCCGAATGGACTCACGTTATTGTTAAAGTTTCGCCAACCAGAAAGCCGGTATGTATTCTATTAATTACTATTCCAAATCTAATATTATCAAACGGTTAACATTGAAACTATAATAGTAGTTTATGCAACTGTCATATAATAGAGGGTATTAAAACATGAGTGTAGTTTTTTTTTCAAAATAAGATTACACGAGTGTTTTAATACCTAATTATATGCAGTTGCATACACTACTTTATTTAATCTCATGGCTATAGGTGTCCAAGTCATAAAGTCTTGGTAACATTTGTCGTACGCTTTTCTTGATTTTTCTGGCAAAAGACTATTCGTCGAGTTAACTTTTCATCGGTATCGTCGGTGTTGCTTGACATTTTTGCTACTAAAGTTTTATTCAACAAAATATTACTCAAATTCGTATGTACGAAATAGCGCCAAAATGGAAAAAGTCTGTTATTGGTCTATTGGCTCGGTACCAGCGCGCTCTCCACAGATTATGTGTACTTAAATTGAATTGAAACCTCCTTGGTCGGCACACATTGTACTTTAATTATTAAAAAAAAATTTTAAAGCATTGTTTTGTTAGGAGAATAATGCTTTAATTTAATTTTTTAATTTTCTTAAAGAAGTAGAAGGTATTCTTCACATGAAATTATGAAATCAATGTATACAAAATATTGTAAAAACTATTTTAAAAGAGTAATTATGGAGTTTCTGGCCCATGCTTCTCCATATGAAACTTTTGGAAGGGAATTATTGAAATAAATTGTTTCACTTTTTGACTTGTATAATACCAATTTTATATGAAAACAGAAGTAGGTAAATATTTATTCTGTAATTACACAAATGTCGTTGCAAATATGTTAACGAATTGCACTGTTAAGACCACTTACATATGTAATTAAAGAATAGTTATAATTATCTTCACCAATTGAACACTCTAATCCAGGAAATTTTATTTAAAAAATTTGTTATGAGTACATTTATTAAGGAACATACTGAGATCAAACTGTTTAGTAAACTTTGTTCCGAAACCTACAGAAGGCATTTTACGTCTATTTTAAAGGCAAGTGTGCTACAGTGATGCCAACTTAGAGTTTTCCTACCTATTTTTTTATTAATTACCTCTCTAAGTGTTCAACAAAAACTTAAGGGGTTTTTAATTGATATTAAGGTTAGGAAGGAGTTGGCAACACTGGTGTCCTATCGCCTTGTACTTTATTTAAAATTCCATTGTTGTGTAACTAAATCTCAAATGCAACACCCAAGGTTCAGAAGCGACTATGAACAGTGCGATTCAACCGCTTTAAAAAATAGATATGGTAATACATTTTACTACCGATTTGATAAAACAACGACTGCAAGCGTGTAGATATATAGACCACTGGTTGCTTAAGCAGTCCGTGTCCTGACGACAAATAAAATTAATAACTTGTAATTTCGTATGTTTAAATTAGTGATATATGAATTACAGATTACTCTAAACGTTGATATAAACGATTACGCGTCACGTCAAATTATCGTTAACCTACCGTCTACATTGTCGTTTACAAAACACGTAATAAAGCAAGAAACTGAGCCGAATAGCTTGTACTACGAGTTGATTTTAGCGGATTTAAATGCGGTACACGAAGCGTACCTGTTGTATGTGGAACCCGTTGACACGTGTCATACGTATCACGTGACCGCTGAGATGCAAGTCCCGTGGGCGAAGAATAACGAGTACTACCACTATTTCACGTAAGTAGATGGAATAAAATAATTAATAAATTTGTCAGTACTGTCTTAAGATTCGGAGGTCGGAATTAACGCGAACTTTGACTTGTCAGTACGTTTTGACATACAAGAGCTCTACAAAATTACGCATTTTTTTTTGTCTAAAGACAGTAATTCAAAGTCAGGGTTTATCCGTTCTGGTAGCAGCAGGGTATTCGTACTTACGTGATTACAGCAAAAGCTTACCCTTTTATCTATATCTATATATATAATAAAACTAAGTCGATAAAATGTGCGTGCCGATAAAACTTAAAAAGGAGTCCCGACACGATAAAGGGACTTATGTGGTGTGATAGCCCTTTATCCCCCCCTCGAACAAGAAAGTTCCCGTTTTAATCTAAAGGGCGTGTTTCTAAAGATATAAGGAACTTTCCAACCCTACAACTTGGAAATTAAGTGTAGCGGCGCCATCTGTTATCGAATATTTGAACTTCATTCAGGACAACGATTGTTTGGGTTGCATTTCCAAAAGCGTTGCGAGCAATTGTAGCATGTGTAGTAGTGACACGAAATTTAAAATTCCAATTTCAATAAAGTCTTAAATTTAATTTGTTGCTATAAAAAAGTTATTAAATTTTGTGTATTTATACGTCATTAGCTAACTTATATTTTGGAGTTAAAGCGACATAATTTTAGTTATCCAAATTAGTTCTCAAAACATTAATAAAAGTGGTTATTTCAAAGAGCAATTTTGGCCACTAAAAATAATATTGTTGACGATATCAATTTTAATATTCTAAAGAAAATACCTGGTGAAGAGAAAATATATAAATCGATCGACACGATGGTATCCATTGAAGAAAGTGTCAACTTCCCCACTGAATTTCTAAACTCTTTACAAGTACCAGGAATGCCATTACACTGCCTTCGTCTGAAAATTGGAACTCCAATCATACTACTCAGAAATCTCAACTCCCCAAAATTATGTAATGGAACTAGAATGATCGTAAAACAGCTATCGAATAATATCATTGAAGCTGAACTTATTTCTGGAAAGACCAAAGGACAGACAGTATTTATACCTAGAATACCTCTGATCTCTTCGGAATTGCCATTTCAATTTAAAAGACTGCAGTTTCCAATAAAATTAGCCTTTAGTTTTACAATTAACAAAGCGCAAGGACAAACTTTAAAATATTGTGGCATTAACCTCAAAGAATCCTGCTTCTCTCACGGTCAGCTATATGTAGCTTGCTCAAGAGTAGGAAATCCGAAAAATTTATGTATATATACTCCGGACAATAAAATGAAAAATGTTGTTTATAAACAAGTATTGTAAATAATGAGAAAACGTTTTCAATAAACTTTTTTTTACTTTTTTTTATTTCGACTCTACCACGTCATCTCATATCTACTCCATATGCACGGGCGAAGCCGGGTTTTTTAGCTAGTATATATATAGAGTGAAGTGATAATATATTATTTATTAGTCCATATTAAATAGCTAACAGATTAAACGTAAAAAACATTCAAATCTATTATCAACAAATAAGTATTCAATATTGACATTGACAACCTCTCCTCAAACTGTCATAATAAGTTTAAATGTTTATGGTAATTTTAGTATAGAATATAGATTATTAAAAATTTATTTCGCTTTCATGCGAAAGCCTTGAAAATATCTACGGACAGACGAAAAGTACTAGTTAACCGAATTGGTACAGGCTATTTCTGGCATTTTTCAAAAACCTTTATTCCTAGACAAATAACAATATAGTAGATATTAATACACAAAAAACATAAATTATTTCTTTAATGTTTTTAGGCACTTGAAGCGATCCCCGATGAAATTGAGGCTTTTCAAAAGTAACCCAAACGTGACTTCAGATGAGAAAATAAAAATCACTCTTCTATTGGATCCGAGATGCTCCTTCACGATAAGGTAAGTCAATAAATTATCCTCGAATATTATCTACGATTAAAACAGTGTGTTATAACTGATTTCAAAAACGAGGTGTGTTTATAGGGTGTCTAACACAGAGCCTATTGGCTAACATTTAGCCTATTAGAGTCTATTAATTAACAATACAATTGTAATAAATGAAGGTCATATTGTTGAAATTAAACGAATTGATTTTTATGATCTACTGCCCCGCGGAATTCATTTTGCCTAAATATGATTTTTTTACTTCGTCTACTTTATTAGCAGCTACATGCCAATATATGGAAAATTTTGCCATTCTACCTCCTAAGTATGAAATACTAAATGTCTATATATAATAAATAAAAAACAAATTACTCGAATAGGTCCTAGCTGTCTTCGATTTTTGAGCTTATATTTTGCTTTCAAACATGTGCATTTAGTAAATGTACGTTTTTCCACTAATTTCTCGAAAATTATTTATATCGACATGATCCTTTTTGATTTATATCATGTATATTCTAACATAATGGATAGATCAGTCCAGTTTCATCGAAACCTGATCAGTAGTTTTTAAGATATGCACTAATTTCTGAATTGATATACCTAGGTGATCAATGATATTATATTTAATTTGTTTCTTTATTCAATTTTATATTTAAATTATTGTAATTCTTTTCGATATTGTTACACAATACATGTAATAGGGAAGTCAATGGCTCCTGAAATACAGTTCTTACTAAATCTCCTGGGATACGTGTTAGTTTAGTAACCTTTTTATTTGCAATAAATAAAAGTACATATTATTATTATTTGATATAGGTTTATTAATTTTTGATTAAAAACCTCGTTTTCAGTATATCAGGTAGCTGGTACTACCGTCTTGCCCAGTTGGTGCGTAATTACAGCCCAGTTTTAGTACCATATGTGGCTGCCATAGTACTTTTAGCAGTACGGGCCAATCTAATAAACTTGAAAGAGCATGGATCCTGTGTCTCAATACATACAGCGCTTATGAGCGAAGGTGTCAAGCCATATTATGTGTTGGTGTTTAGCCGACTGGCTATTATGGGAATAATGTAAGTATTCTGCATATTAAAGAGATCTTTGCATAAATTAAATCCAAATTTGTCTATGTATGAACGTCAATATTGGAAGTCTAAATTTAAATTTTCCAACTGAAGAACTGTCAAAAAACTCCGCCATTTTTAAGTGTCAAAATTATTCCACAAACAAAGATTTATGCGTAAAAACTCGTAGAGTATAATTTAACTTCTCTTTGTATCTTTTAAATTTGACCATATCATGAAAAAATATTTGTATACTATACCGTAAATCTTATGATATTTATACGGCGGATATCGGAATATAATAAAGTTGATAACAAGTGGCTATCGCTGGGTTTATGGCCAAAATGCCATGAACAATTGGTTAGTCGTAGTTTATTTGATAAGAGCGTCGTATACGCAATCTGTATAAATATATAATGTTTCATTTACATCGCTCGCTTGTCAAGTAATACAAACAATAAGTAATTAAAACAATAAAAGTTGATTTATTTTATTTTATTTATGGTCACAAACATCACACAGTTTTACGTTTTTATGTTAAAACGAGGACAAACGAGCACTTATGAAATATGTAAGAAATAAATGTCTTGTAATATAATATATAGATTGACATGCGAACTTACGATTAAAGAGCAGCGCTAACCAGACCCATGCAACTTCCTTACAATCGAGTAGCCCGCGATATCGCGGCACACAAATCCCGAGGGGACATTTTGTATTGAAGAAGTCGCATGGGTACTCCTAGTTTCTACTCATTACATAAAATAAAAAATATTAATTTTTTTTAACCTTCAGTAGGGATACATTAAGAGGTTTTTTTGACAATTGACACAATGTTCTAACCAAAAACACAATTTGGCGCTAATTTCGTGTAATGGCGGACTTAACTATGTTTGTGTGATAATTTAATATTATTTAACCGTTTTATTTACAAGTCTTAAAATGTTTTGTCACCATTTATTTGCAAAGTAACACGAGAGCGATAAGGATAAGTGAATCGCTATTTGAGTGGGTAAATAGCTATTGAGTGTGTGCAGGCGAAGGTATCAAATAAAACAAGATTAAGAAAATATTTAAATTATACTCAAAATCTTTTATTATATTTTTAATTATTCTGTATAAATATGTATAAAATATAATTAAAATATCTTCAGGTCGGTACCACTATTGCCAATAATATTAGAGAATGCTAGCTGGAACAATTTAGAACTCCAGTACTTTACGAAATCTTTGTTAGTATTGCCGGCGTATATGACGGCTCTCGGTATAGTGAACGTGGCAGCCGCCGGGATACTTGCTGTGATGGTGTTTTCATCACAATTGGCTCATCGATTGCTTTTTAAGTAAGCGTTTTCATATTGAAGTTACGTTGATATTTTTTATCGCCCATTTTAGTCTAATATTTGGCGAAAAATGGTTTCGCTGAGAATAGAGTCTACGTTATAATAATAATCAAGTGGCGCTACAACCCTAAATGGACCGTTTCGTCAGATTGCATACGTTTCTTTTCTTTGCATCATTTTTATTTCATAGACAAGTAGGTGACCTTCCGTGTCTGACACATGTCATCACCCTAGGAGCAAGTGCTAATTGAGCACATACAAAAAAATTCTATTGATGCACAGACGTGATTCGAACGCACGATCTCAGGGATGAGGGTTGCACGCCTTACACTGCTCTTTCATCAGCAGTTCATAGTAAATATGATAATAGAATTCATAGTAATTTATTGATAATTTATAAATTGTTATATCGAGTTAAATCCTGGGAACTTCTTAAGATGGTTCCATGGTTAGATTATATTATGGCGTTTATTAATTTAAAAATCATTATAATAATTAAAGTTCCTAAATAAAATGACTATTTATTTTAAAAATAAAATAAATCAGTGGCGCTGCAACTCTTTTGGTCTGCCTGGGCCTCAGATATCTGTATCTGTTTCATGATCATTTTTCGTGATCAGCCTCCTGCGCCTGACATACTCGTCGACTTTTTGGTTCTAAGACATGTCTGTTTCCTCACGATGTTTTCCTTCACCGTTCGAGAGAACGTTAAATGCGCTCATAGAAAGAAATTCCATTGGTGCACAGCCGGAGATCGAACCTACGACCTCAGGGATGACAGTTGTGCGCTGAAGCCACTAGGCCAACACTGGTCTATATAATATTTAATTTAATAATTTTAAACTATGTAAGGTGTCATCTGGTGGAGACTGGACTCTTACTAACGCATTATAAAATGCTTTAATTATAAATATTGCGCTAAATTGTTTTCAGTTTTTAATTCAGACTAATACTGGGCTGTATTATTATTAATTTAGAGAAATATGTCAATAGAATAGTATGGCGCGGTGGCAACGGACTAGCGGAAAAAGTCGCGTCGGGTCTCCAAAAAGTTCCGCTAGTGGTGAGTGCGGCGCTAGTGTGCGCAGTGCCACTCTCATGTGGTGCTGCGGCCTTGACTGCGGGAGCGGCTTTTTACGCTTTTATGGTATGTTATTTACTGAAAGAAATCAAGAAAGTAGTATTTAATTGTATCACACAATAGCATTATTATAGTTCGTAATGCATTTTAAAACTGTTCCGGCAACTGTCAGTATATCAACCGTATAATATATAGTATAGTATAATTTACTTAGTAGGTATAATATATTTATTTGTATTAATAGTAATTAACACCATAATAATTATTTAAAGTAACTAACCAAATGGACTTAGGGTGTTTCAAAGATATACCTCATAAAAGACCGGTAACGCACTCGCGAGACCTCTGGCATTAAGTGTCCATGGTATCACCTAACATCAGGTGAGCATCCAGCCCGTTTGCCTGTTTTTTATAAAAAAAACTATTTAAAATAATTTATAGGTATATAAACCCTAACGCCAAAACAAAAGCTCCAATTACTAAAATAAAAATAATAAGTTAATTATTTAGTTACTGTTTACTTTGTTTATTACTCGCTATCACTAGCGACCTAACTTCACCTAGGCGAGTTCGATTCGAAATTAATAAAGTATAAAACTTGTACCTAACTAATAGCGTAGCTTACAGACATATTGGTTATTGGTAGACTTAATCAGTTTTATAATATAAACAGCCGCTTGAGATTTATAATTTTTTTTTAAAATAAATGTAAGATTCTTACGATTTGAAGGGTTCACATATTCCAAATGCTTCCGGTCCAAATTTCGACTGTACTTGTGTTTTTAATTCTCTACTTTATCTAGTAATTGTAATTTTGTAACATCGATTGAAGATGATGATTGTACTTATGCTCCTGTGGGCTTTCTTTAAATAATTTATTCTTATTATAATACAATATATACTTGCCCTACATGCGTAAAGTTTGCTTCACCTGAGATTTTTTCTCAATATCCAGCGTCTAAATGCTATTGAAAAAGAAATATGGCTTTCAGGAACAAGAAAAATTGGTACTACCAAAAATGTTTATCACATGTATTGTATATCGCATTTCCTAATAAAATATTTTTTACAGATTTCAAAAATGTATGAAGAATATCTGGAGGATTATGTGTATAAATTATTGGCAAAAGTTGGTAGTAGATTGTGTAAGATGTTCATAAAGCAAACTAAGGAGACATGTAATAAAGAACTCAAAGACCAGAAAGCTGAAGAGATTACCAATGCAGTTGTCAAGAATGACTGTATAGATGCACCCGAAGAAACAGTTGATGAAGATCTCAATAATATTAATTTCCATATGATGTTATTCTTTATGTGGATGTGTGTTACATTAGTTAATATACCAGCATTACTGACTTGGGCAAGGAATTTTAAGTAAGACACCTTTGATATTTATTTATATCGTAATAGTGGACCCGCCAGACGTACGTCGACCTGAACACACTGCTTAAATACAAAAATAATTGTAAATCGAAAACATTTCACTCAAAAAATTTCATCAAAATCGGACCAGCTGTTTAGGAGGAGTTTAATTATAAACACATGCACCCGATTACTTACAATCATGGATAGTCATTATATTCATTTGAAAAGAATCCTAGTAGTCAAATGATAATTAGGTTAGTATATGACCATTGACCATGGAGTAATTGGGGTACTTTTTTAATTTATTACAAAAAACACTTTTTTATGAAGTTTTTGTTTAAGTAAACTGGCCTGTATAGTGGGAAATTCTTTAGTTCAAGTTGGTTATAGCATTTTAAAAATGAATTTTGTTTTATTTACACATTTCTTTGTTTTCAACATGTTAATACTGTTTTTTGAGTAGTAGCACTATTATGTTATAGGTACAGCATGGTATTAACACCTGACACTTCTTACCACACTGGTATGCTTATGTCAGCTTGCTCAGGTATTGTCTGGCAAATGGATGGACCTCAAAAGAAATTGTAAGTAAATTCTAATATTTACAAAGTGCCTTTCAAGCTAAATCAATTTAATAATATAATTCTAGTTAAAGCCCTTCCAATTACAGCTTTTCAACTTCTATATCCACTAATTCCTGAATTCTATGTACAAAATCTTAGTGTGTTTTCACTAAGGAATCAAATATAGGACTTCCAGTTGCATTCACCACTATGCCATAGTAGCCATGAGAGGCTGGTAAATAATATATTTTAAGTTATTGCAATAACTATAAAAATACCTTTATTCTATTTCAGAAAATTCTATGATGCAGTCATTTCATTGCTCTTTACAATGGCAGTATTTATCATAGCACTTGGACCATTTTCAATATCTATTATTAACTATGGTGTTTCAATTATGTTTGCCATAATAACTTTTCAACAATTGCTCAATAAAGAAGAAAAATCTTGTAATACTGTAGGAAACACACAAGATAAGAAAGAAGATTCCAGTGAAGAGCCAAGTACCAAAGAAAATCCTAAATCTAATTTAAATAACATCAATGAAAACTCAGTTGCTAGTAGCTCTGAAGAAAAGTCTCAAAATACTAGTGAAAATATTGAAACTGAACTAAATTGTGATGTCTGCAATGAAAGCAGAATTTATACAATGTTCAAAAATCTCAGAGACAAAATTAATTTTAGTGATGATAATTAAGATTTTTATTTAGTAACTGCAATGCAATGTGGGACCCCTACATGAGCATATCACAACTAGAGTTAGTTTAATATAGAAGATACTCAGCTAAAGTTTAGATTATTTTCTTACTCAAATAAGCAGTTTTATCAAGATGTTTTGTTCATGTATTTTAGTAACTCCTGTTCCTATTATAAAATAATTTTTACTGTCTATACATTGTAGATATTTAAGATACCTGTGCAAGGAGGGGTCAAACAACAACAAAATGTAGGATTAAGATATTTGTATTTAATTTATGAAGTTTTTGAATCTTGATTGAAATGCTCCTAGGCGATAAAAGGTGACTGGTGCAATATTGAGCACTCGTTGAAGTTTAGATCTTCATCCTAGTACAATAATGTAAATTAATGGAGTAATATTTTTTTAATGTTAAGTGCTTGTAATTAATAGGGTAACTATCCTTTAGAAAAAATATATTTAACATAAAAATTTATGCTGAATTTGACATTATGTTTTGAGATTATAAGACATGCTAATAAATTTTATAGTATTTATATTTGTTTCATTATAATATATTGATAGAATATGAAACTTCAATATTTAAATAAATAAGATGTTTCCTATGGTCTCTTGTTGTTGCATCCAGTGTTACAGTGACTATAGAGAATTAAAATAAATATAGAGTACCTAATACAACATATATAAAGTACAAATCAAAAGAAAATACAAGATTAAACATTAATATCCGTTCAGAGATACACAAGGGTGCTATATCAATAGTATAAAATAAACTAATTTAGAGGAATAATGATATAATTAGAAACTTAGAAATAAATCATAAACACACAACACTATTTCTTTCCTTTTTTGCCAGTTGGTTTTTCTTCGGTATTCCTTGGGTTCTGCCAGTTAAGTGGATTGCGTCGATACATAGGCCACGGTGGCACGGTTAGAACTGCTGCTAGAATAAATCCTGCACCAAGAATGTATACGGATTGTGAAAACTGTTGAACAATATAACCCCAAACAAATCCAACTATACTGAATAAAGTTATGATAGCTCTATATAGTTTTTCTGCTTTTGCTTGGCCTACATAGTCAATGTGAGTCGGAATTGATTTAAAAAAACTCCATTTTCAAATATTTGGTACTTGTGGCAAAATTCTAAACAAACTAGAAAAATTTGTCAATATATTGTCAACGTCGCTGGATCGCACCGAGTTTAGTAGTTTGGACACGTCATAATAATTTTCCTATACACAGATAATAAATTATTAATTGAAGTCTGACAGCTAACACAACTGTTCCTCGTATGTCCTTTGAATTTATAATTCATTAATTATTTTCTCTTATTAAGTTTATTTAGGAAGAAAAAAACCTTTTAACACTGTGAAAATTAAATAAAACATAAAATTCACAGAAATGCACAGAATACAGATGGATAAATGTTGCTTCTTTATGTTAGTTATCTATTCATCAATGTCACGACTTTCATTCCGATTTGTTATTCTATAGAGAAATTTACATTGGAGTTTTGATGTCAGTCGATTGTCAACATCCAGTACGATCGGACTCATTAGGTTAATTTTACAAAGATAATTTTATTTTATTTTCAAAAAGTACAATACTCAAATTGATAAACAAAATGACTTCATTCAAACAAGTACCTTTAACATGTGGTGGCCACACAAGACCAGTCGTGCATTTGGACTTTAGTGATGTAACAAAAGACGGATATTTTTTGATTTCGGCTTGCAAAGGTAAGTTTTCAATCTTTTCTACAGTTGGGGTGCCCTTTTGCCTTGGCCTAGATGTAGGTGGAAGACTTGCAAGTGAGTAATTTATGGTTATTGGTATTCATAAAACGACAGATGTTAGATGTCGTTAATTGGAAAGGCGACGAAATGTTTTACGTCCGTATGGAACAATTCTTTCTATGTATGGGGCTGACCTTCTCTTTCCGGTCTTGTAGGAAGTACCTTGAAGTTCCGTTTAAGTTTCCTGTTGGGCCTTGTTTACCTTGATTAAGTCGTGCTTTTATTTACACGTACAGTCGCGTTCATTCTTTGTGTAAGTTGTAATTGCTTTAGGGTCAACTAATTGTTGCTTTCCTGTTCAGTGGTGTTGACATTTCACTCATATCAACACTGGGTCACCTTGTAACTCTTTCAAGGTGTATTAAAGCACTTGACATTAATGATTATTATCATACAGCATTTTATTGTAAACTTTCATTTTATTATATGCTTATAGTACCCTTTTTTTCTGTAGAATTATTGATAAAATATGAATTAATTGCTATTGGAAAAAAGTTATTGTTATTTCTAATTACATTATAATACACTAGTTTTATTATAATAGTATAGTATAAATATAGTTATGGTACAAACCAATATCTCTTCATAATTTAAATTTACTGAAATTCTCATTCAAATCAAGCTTCTTTGCTCTAATAACTAATAAGTAATTATTTACTTTTATATTTTTAAACTGAAAAGCTACATTAATTTATGAACTATTTATAAATTATCATGCATAATGTAAATGTATCTGTTCATAGATGGCAAACCTATGTTAAGGCAAGGTGAAACTGGTGACTGGATAGGTACATTTGAGGGTCATAAAGGTGCTGTGTGGGGTGTGGCTTTAACTCAAAATGGAAACCTAGCTGCAAGTGGAGCAGCAGACTTTTCAGGTATACAAGCAAATGTTACCAATTATCAGATTAAACTCATTAAAAATATAAATCAATGTTATATTTATATCAGGGATGTGATATATATTTGATTCATTTGAATTGCTTTGTGGTCACAGTATGGTATTTGGGATTTCAGCAAAACTTTGGGATGCACGTTTTGGTGAAGTTTTGCAAACATTTGACCATGAGCACATAGTAAAAAGTGTTAACTTCAATGCAGAAGACACTCTCTTACTTACAGCGAGTAATGAAAAGCTTATAAGGGTTTATGATCTTAATAAGCCTGAAGTTGGCGGTAAGTTATTATTTTTCATTTAGATTATTAAATTCAAACTTACTTTATTTTATGTTTATTCTCACACAGTTCACTGGCAATAAATTTTGTGTGCTACAATTAGGGAATGAACATTTTAATTTTATAACAATTAACAATTTGTTGTATGTAGTCTTTTTATAATCTAGTATTATAAATGTTGCTTTGGTTTTGTCAATTTCAAAATCATTATTTTTTACTTAGTATGTATTATGTAGTGTTACAGTAGTATTACTTATGTTGTAGTACATAAAAAAATTAACTTGAGTCTGGCCTTATTATAGTTTAGGTTCAGGTTAGTAGAACATAGAATGAAAAATATGTATTTTTAATTGAATAGCAGCACAGGTGAAACAGGGTTTAGTAAAGGATTAGGATTAGGATTCACTACTACTCCTCCGAAACGGTTCGACCGATTCTTATGAAATTTTTTATGCATATTCAGTAAATCTGAAAATCGGCTACTATCTATCTTTCAACCCCTAAGTGATAAGCCCGCTAATGGCCATAGGCTTCCTCTCTTAGCAAAAAATTTTTTTACATTTTTTTATGATACAACATACAAAAATACATAAGTACAACCCTTAATTTTCATTTACCCACAACAATCAACCCTTATTTTTTTTTTTTTAGTTAAGAACTTAACTTGAACTCTGAGGTTTATATAGAGAAAAATCACAGAAAAAGCTAAAAACATTTCATTCTGGAAAATCAAACAGTCTCTGGGGTAGCATAGCAAAATGTTCCATGTTGGTATGTACTAAAAAGGTAGACTAGGCATTAAGGAGAAACGAAGTACGCAGGGGCAGCTAGTATTTAATAAAATTTAATCATCTTAGGAGTAATCTGGGCAGAAATTATCATAACATGTAAGGAATTGCCTTAGGAAGTGTCTTATTTAATGCTTGGCCTTTTCAGCTCTAGAAAAAATCAGCGCACACACGAGTAGTATCAGGCATGCTGTTTTCCTGCACAATTCACGCATTGTAAGCGTTAGTGATGACCTTACTTTACGTGTATGGGATCGTAATAGTGGACAGGTAGGTTAATAATTCACGGAACTAATATACAGGAAGCCATTTACATAAATACTATATATATATACGGAGTAGGGAAGGATTTTTTTAAAGTGACATTCTTCACACAATTTTCTTGCAGTAAATTTTATTATTCATATAAATATTAGGGGCCATCCATAAAGTACTTCACACGAATTTTAGGACTTTTGAACCCCTCCCCCCGTCCTTGTCACAGGTTGTCACATTTTTATAACCCCCCCTCCTGATGTGACGTCACACATATTTTACTGCGCCGGCGCGTGAGGTAGCACTTGTCGAAGGTCTCTCAAACAACCGACGTGCGGAACGATAGAAAAGCGAGCGAGCACTCGCCGACGACTTAAACCTATTTAAATCCTTACCATTCAAAATTCTCGTGAATTTGAGTGTCTCACTTGCATTACAACGCCGCTCTAGAAGTTAAATGACGTTGCATGAGAGATTATCGCATAGCGAGAATGCTAAATTATTAATAAATATAGATCAAGATTGTAAATTTTAAAAAATTTTAATTCACATCCAAACTGCGTTTTAGTATTTTAAATTTTGACATGTGACGTCACAAAAGTTTTGACCCCCCATGCCCCTTGTCACACGATGTCACACTTCAGTGATACCCTCCCTCCCCATTAACGTGTGACGTACTTTATGGATGGCCCCTTACGTGTTTAAGTGACACTTAAAAACTAAGACTATAGGCAATATATTCAACCAAGTATACTGGGCGGTGGGAATATATAATGAAATGACGGTGTGATTAGTGGCGTAACTATAACATCTGGTGCCCGTGGCAATTCTTTGGATCATTCATCAGTGAAAATCGTCCGGACTCAGTTTAATTTTAATAAACTTCGAGATTTTCAGCGTACCTACTCAATTACACGTTGTATATGTCCCACTAATGGAGATAGGCCTCCTCTCTTAGGCGAGAGGGAATAGTCTGTAGTCCCCACGCTAGCCCAATGCGTATTGGAGACTTCACATTCATCCATAGAACAAATTTGGGCATGACAAGACCCTCTTGGGTCGGGGGCCCGTGGCATTTTGCCAGCCCTGCATTGTATTGTTTCGCCACTGGGTGTGATCTTTTAGATTTTCGTCGGTATGTCTTATCGAATACGTCATAATACATTCGTTTGACCAATCACAATTGGGTTAATTTTTTTTCAACCAAATATAATCTGATACATCTTTTTTAGTTAGACCATTCAAATAGGCTTTTAAACGTATACTTTATATGCCTTAGATTTGAGCTTTGGTTTTATATGTGATTTGAATTTGTTTATAGATCCATCTTATAAGTTTCTTTAAGTATTATATATAAAGAAACATGTGCTCTATAGAAAATCTTAGTTGTAGGTAGACAATATAATTATATATATACTTATTTAATTTAATATATTTCAATGCAGGAAGTACAAAAGGTCGAGTTCTCTTCAACACCAAACAGTCTAGAATTATCTAGAGATGGAGCTGTTTTGACAGTTACACATGGTAAGGAATAACATTTATATCCTTTGCTATCATTACACATTTAAGAAGGTTATAATAGTTCATAATTCATAATTTCATCAACATCACTTTGATGGCTGGAACTTTTCCAGTCCGTTTCACAAGAAATTTTCTTTTGCGAACTAGCGAACTGTGGAATATACTCATGGTGGGGGTCCTCTCTGAGAGATACGACCTCCAACTATTTAAAGTTAGAGTGTACTCCTCCCTCAAAGGCCGGCCACGCACCTACTAAAAATGGGTGTCCCTGGCTGCGATGACTGCCCTTTTTGGGCGTCTCGTAGGCTCGTTTGACCCCCTTATATATATTTTATAAAAAAAAATACTATACTTATATATTGACTATATATTTACATAATTAATAATTAAATATATTTAACGATTCATAGTAAATGGCGGTTACATCAATAGCCTATTTTTTATATATTCAATATAGATATAGAAGTGTTTTTATATTTAAATTACTATAACTCCTAATAAGACATGGGTCAGAAATTTCTATATATCGTTGATAATTTGTTTTAACCCTTATATACCTTGAGTGAAGCGAAAGGAAGTGCTTATGTTTTTATTGTATTTTCAGGTACAAATGTATCCTTCTATTCTTCGGACACGATGCGTCTAATGCGGGAAGTGGCAGTTCCCACCCGATGTTATTCCGCGTCCTTAGCCCCGAGTCGTGCCACTTTTGTCTGTGGCGGAGAGGACCTCAAAGTATACAAGTTTGACTACAACACTGGGACTGAACTCGGTAATGATTGGTCTTAATTGGTATTCAATTAAAAAAAGAATAGTAATATAATTTTTAAAAATAATGAATAAGGGAGCGTTCAAGTATTACGTCATGCAATTTTTGGAGATTATTGACCCCCCCATGTAACGCGCCGTAACGTTTTTCTGTGTCGAAAATTATATTAACAATAACGCGGAATTCAATCCCCGCCCCGCATCGTAACGTTTTACAAAAAGAACCCCCCCCCTCCAAAATATTCGTACGTACTACTTGATGTACGACGTAATAATTGAACGCTCCCTAAGAAGTGAGAATATTTTTGGATCAGCCCTCGTATTCTGTATATCTTGATTGGTCGAATGTCTTCAAGGGCAGGACTGGGTGATATGAGTTCTTAGTTTACAGAAGTACAAAACATGTAAATTTTCTACCTGTCTGGTAAATCTAAATTTTCTATCTACTGGAAGTGATTTTGGTTCTATATTTTTATTAAATAAAATTATAAAAACGCAAGAATGTTTATCGACACATGTTGAAATATTTTTTCCTACTTCAATCTAAATTTTAAAGTCACAATGCAAGATACAAATAATATTTACGAACATCAAAATTATTCAATATGTTTACGAGTAGTATTGTCTTTTATTGACATAACTTTTACACATTTAAAGAAAACACTTTTTTACCGGATTGAAGTTATGTATTATTATAAATTTACAATTATTTTACATAATTATATTTAATATTTATTTTATTTCAATGTTTACGAGTTTCATGTTTCGTAATTTTTCAGAATCGAATAAGGGTCACTTTGGTCCCGTGCATTGTGTGCGATGGTCTCCAGACGGGGAATTATACGCTACAGGCTCTGAAGACGGGACGGTCCGTCTCTGGCAAGCCGTTCCTGGACGAGTTTACGGCCTTTGGAAGCGAAGTAGCGATGCCGCGCCTATTGCTAATGGATTTAAGGAGGTTGCTGCCAACTGACAGAGCCCAATGGTATTTATCAAATTCTGCTAGCTTGCGGTTTTCATTTTCAGCTTTCATCCCCGTCATTCCAAGATCGGAATCAGTTATTAGGCTATGGAAATTAAAGGAACTAAGTAAATTTAAATAAAAATATTAATCGTTTCTCTCATTTTCTGAATCATTAATATATAATGTGTAAGAAAAATCTTGCATATATACATATATTACATATAAGAAAGAAGGGTACCCAAATAAAGGAGCTTAAATTATATATATATATATAAGGGTATACTTAATAGCAAAAAAAAACAATAAATCAGTGGCACTACAACCTCTTTAGGTCTGGGTCTCAGATTTCTCAATCTGTTTCATGATCATTTTTAAATCTAATAGACACGAATTTTTGGGTCTAAGACATGTCGGTTTCCTCACGATGTTTTCCTTCACCGTACGAGCGAATGTTAAATGCGCCCATAGAAAGAAAGTCGATTGGTGCACGGGAGCCGGGGATCGAAGTATTATACAATTTGTAATATATTTAATGCGACCTCAGGGATGAGAGTCGCACTAAATATAAAACTAAAATTACTTTTGATTTTGGTTCATGCAAAATTTATGGTGGCGTTTTACCAAAATTATAGGTTAGGCTCATCACCATAACCCGTCTTAGAAAACTTTTTACTAATATTTTGAAATAACTTTAAAATTCCTCTCTCGACTATGCTCATGTTTTTGTATTTGTTTCAGGGTAACGAGGAACAATAACGTGCAATCGAAACGGATCGTTTGGTTTTCGAAAAGTTGACGGTACCCCAGTGCTAGTTTTTAGTGCGGGTTGACAATTGAGACTAACAATTAAAAATCAAATTTTTGTTTGTGTTGTTTATTTTTTTTCAACACATTTTTTTATACTCAATGAATTATTTAAAAGAAACTTACAGACTTGATAATATTATGGAACGAAATAAATAATTTGTAAAAGTTTTCGTTTTATTTTGTAAATATTTATTAAGTAATATTTATTGTCATAATTTTTGTTTGTACTTGTATGGTGTTCTGTGTCATGAAATGCTTGTATGTGCCTGTAAATAGTTTTTAAATAACATATAAAATAAATTTGATAGTGAAATAAAAGAAATAAGTATATTAAATTATTATATTTCTAAAATTGTACAAAAACTAGATCTAATTAAAACTAAATATCAAAAACCGCAAATTTACAAAACAGAGGCAGTATTTAAATTAATTGTTTTAAATTCGTAAACTTAAAGGTTGTAAAAATGGTAACACAATGGTACATGTTTTCGATTTCAATAGATTAACTATTTGTAGATGGTAACATTCGGTAAGTTTATTGTCAATTAAAGCTTATAATGGCTGATAAATTGATCAAATCATGCCGATAATATAAATTGTCTAAAACTACGACTTAGTAGTTTGTACATAATAAAATATTTCATACAATATACAAATTTTGCGAAAATGCATGAGTATTATATTTTCACACAATTTGTTTATGTATAGAAATTTTTAAGTAATTAAATATTATTATTAGGGACGGAGCACCGATTACTATATTATAGGTGAGTTATATCACAATATTTTCCAATTTTAATGTATATTAAAATAGTTGTGTATATATGTATATAAAATTAAAATAATATCAATCCAGGAAAAATATAGAAATTCAAATGTAGTAGACTCTCATTTGGTTTACGAAAACTCACGATTATAATAATTTTTTCATGAAACGTTATGTAAATTAAACCTTTGTTAATTGACTTAAGGTTATTTTTTAAATGGCAGCCAAACGCGTTGCGTTGTATAGAATGGTTTCATGTTTACGAGTAATAGTTTTCGTTTTTGTATACAAACAATTTAGAGCTATTAATTTCTTCGTTTTGTTACATCAATTTCACCACCTAATCCTATTTGAAACGGTCAATTGTCGTATGTTTGACAGTTCCAAACACAGTGACATTTCATTACTTATAGTTCGAAGTGTTTTTTTAAAAAAAACAATGATTTCTATACATTTTGGTTCAAGTTTTTTTTCTTTTTGCGGTTCTAAGTTTTAGGCCAGTGTTCTTGGTACTTGATACAAATGTGGGCTTCTATAGATAAATAACAACCGCGAGTGACCGTATCGGGTGAACACTTAGAACTTTTGATTTAGGTTAGACAGAGATTCAACATTGCATCAATGGTTTTATTTCTAACTCACTTAGCGATAAACGGCGTTAAGTCCGGGAAATTGAAGTTAATATTGTGTCGCCTCGGCGGTCTGCCTTGTGGGGCGGCGCCACATTGCGCTGTACATACGTCATCGCGTAGAATTGCTTCACGCGGCCATTCGCGGGACAATTGCGCGCAGTCCGTTATACGCAAAGATGCGCATTGAGCCTGAAATTTAAGATGCAAAATTTTCTTTATTTTTCTGTATAGTTCTAAATATATATAAGCGAGCTTATTTGAGCTGAAGAGTAAAATGGCAATGAAGTATTTCTTTGGAATTTATAAATCACATAAGGGCTACGATATTCATGAATTATTATAATGTTGATAGTATTAAACGCACATATAAAATGTGTCTGCGTCTACTATTTGTAATAAAGGTCAACTAACTATACGTGTAATACATGACTGTTCCAGGACCGTATAGTCTTCTACCAACAAAAAATTCACTCTACTGTCAACACGTAGCTACTCATATTGAAATAAAGCGAGTGTGAATGAAGTCTATATAAAATTATCATTTGCGGATTTAAATACCGATAAAAAATAACATGACTTACCCCTTCAGCAGTACAGATACATGATGTACAGGGTGATGGGAAGGCAGAGTCGCCTAAGGGCACAGCGCGTCCCGCTATTAAACAGCCTTGTGCTGAATTCTCGCGCCACGCTGATAGATCCAACTTTGGCAGCGACGCGCAAGAAACGCGAGGGTTTCTGTAAGAATTATACACATTGCAAATTGGTCTACTTAAGACAAGTATTAAACTCTCATTTGTCTAGTAATATGTTCGACTGTAGATAAAATCCCGGGTAAAAAACTTTTTATTTTAATATATATATATATATATATATATTTAAGCGGTCTCTAGGCTTTGCACGGTTTATTGTTTATATCTTAATTGTTTAAATTCGTTTATATTAAAATACAATGAAAATTATTATACTCAAAGATAATATAGCATCGTAATAGTAAAGAGTTTTTAGAATCCTACCTAGTATTGTGTTTTAATGACAAACATATATTAGTATACATTATAAGTTCCAAAAGTCGTGCAATTGAAACTACAAGGAAAATATACGTAAAATTTTTACATCACTTCTACATAAAACAATTTTGATCATAAATAATAATGAAACATTTTAAAGGACGGATGTACTCACAAGAAATTGCTTGGTAAGTCAAAAGCAGCGCGTTGTATATCTGTGGGAATGTCAAAGTTGTCACAAAGGACCTTTGACAGAGTAGTTTTTCTAATTTCGGCCAATTGTTGCTCTGTGAATCTGGCTGCTGGGTTGTCGTTTTCATACCTAGAGTAAAATTTAAAGTTACATAAATTATAAATATACCGAAAGATATACTATTCTGTTTGAAATTATCACATTATTTATATTACGTATTTGCATTAAATTTCTCGAGTGGCCTTCTAAATCGACCACAATTTTACAATTATTTTGAATAACTAACACTGTCCAAACAAGTTAATTATTCAAAATAATATTTTATTAGTAAATTGTAAAGGAACGCATTTAAGTGCTCGTTCAGACACGGCGGGAACCACGCGGTTTGAAAATAACACGGGACGGATCTTATTTACATAGGTGTTTGCATAATCGTCCACACATAATCGCGCGGTTAGTCCAACCGCGCGGTTACCGCCAATCAACCGCTAGAAAATAGAATCGTGCGGCACCCGCGCGGTTCTATTACTATGAATATGTTACTCAGCGTTCATTAGCGTTGCGGGCACCGCGCGATTTACACGTCATAACAAGAGCACGTGTGAACTCGCTATCGCTTCGACACTGAGGGCAACACATATTAGGGCAAGCATGTCACCAAGACAGTGTTTCAGAGCTTGAAAAATCTTCCCTTATTAGTTCAATGAGTTCATCAAAACATTTTATTGACATTCTCAAATAGTCAAAAAAAATTCTCTCAAACATTCTTAAATTGGGATATAGTGTTACAAATTGGCCAAGTGTCAGTCGATCCCTTAATATTAGATGCACCCAATACTGCCTTTTCTTTCTTTCCTTTATTTTATGTATCAACCGCAGACACGCTAGTTCCTCTTCGACTACCATCTTGAAACTGATCGCTAACTAACCGCCAATGTTTGAACAGTCGACATTTTTGCGGTTCAAACCGCACGATCTCACAATCGCGTGGTTCCCGCCGTGTCTGAACGAGCACTAAATCATGAATATTTTAATATCTTACCAGAATCGGTCACATTTCCTAAGCTGACGGAACTGTATAGCAATAATACAGGCGAAAGTGGGTCCTACGAGACCTCCTTGCAAAGGCCGCTCACTCATTCCTCCGGGGAATAGATCGATGTCGTCTACAGTGGGATAAATACGCTTAAACCTGAAACAATATTATAATATAAAATTTAATGTTTATTCTTTGTTAATGTGAATTTGAAATATTATATTTAGATCCCTAACTTAGTCAGAGCCTTCGCTTGAGAATTGTCAATTATGTCAAATTTCAACTAGAGAAAAAGGCTTGACAGTTCTTAAAACTAGAATTAATTTGACGTTTTAGAACATGGGCGGGTTATAGAATATGGGATAGTAATAATTGATTGATTGATTTTATGTAAAAAAATAAAATCTTCAAAAAAAAAAACAAATAACATGCTAATGTATACAATTGTAAAATCAGGTTACTTTGGTTAAAACAATTTTTTCTCTAATAAAATACAAATCTTTCCGAAACGCTGCATAAATAACCTTGAAGCATTTGATTTAGTTTTTTATAAAATTTAAAATGT